AAACCAAGGTACATGCCCTTGACCAGAATCGAACCTGGGACCCCTGAGTCTTCAGGTCAACGCTCTATCCACTGAGTCAAACCAGTTAGCGCTGTAGGCTGTCATTTGGGAGGAGGGCCCCTGCGGAGTCGTGGTCTATGGCCCCTATACATGTTCTGTCGCTCTGGTTCTACCTGTTCTCTTGCACCCTGGATGTCAGCATCCTCCATCACTTGTTCCTGCACAGGAGGGTTGGGATACTGTGGTGGATGCCCATAGGGTCTCTACAGGTGGTAAGGTGGGAACTATCGCTTGTGGTAGGACAGGTGCTGCGGGCATGGCCTTCAGGAGTGCTGTCCGATCCCTCATGCCTTTCCCCACTCTCACTATTCTGATAATTCTGCTGGCAATTGCCTGGAGGACCCCTTTCATACCCTATTGACGGCCTATGAAGAACTGATCCATTTCACTTCATTGCTATATTTTCCTCAATAGCACTCACCACCATGTAAATTGTATATATATATATATATATATATTTACTCATTTATTGTATCTGTCACCCACCAGAATGGAAGTGCTATGAGGGCCGGGACCACTTTTATCTGCTCACAGTTCACACTGCTCTCCTTTTGCCTAAATCTAGGATGCGTGTCTGGGAGGGAAAATACTGTGTACAAGCCCTTTAAAATAGTGGCTTTGTCCGTGGGTGGTTCAGGTCTCTGGCTACTAGAAGCACTGATGCTGATTGATGCGGTGGCTATTGCTAGTTCTGACTGTCCAGGTTGGTGTGCCCTGCCTGGTTTCCAGGCCTCTCTTCTCTCTGGGGGAACCCTCCTCTCCCTTGGCCCGTTGCTCCTGGGTGCTGGGCCAGTGCCCATTGGCCCCACGCCTTTCCTACCAGTTTTTTTTTTTTTTTAATACATTTTACTGATTTTTTACAGAGAGGAAGGGAGAGGGATAGAGAGCTAGAAACATCGATGAGAAAGAAACATTGACCAGCTGCCTCTTGAACACCCCTCACCGGAGACACAACCAAGGTACATGCCCTTGACTGGAATTGAACCTGGGACCCTTCAGTCCACAGAACAACGCTCTATCGACTGAGCCAAACCGGATTCGGCCTTTCCTACCAGTTTTGAGGAGATCTCTGCCTTTCCCTGTTTAAAAGTCTCTTCTTCAGCCAGTCTTCAGCTGGTATTTCAGGGTTGATTATTCCCCATTTAGGTCAGTTCTAGTTAAATTCTGGGAGGAGGTAGGAGAAAGGTCCACCTACTCCTCTGCCATCTTCCAATCCCCTCTCCCATGGGTCTATGGGAACTGAATGGTTAATGTGATGCTCAATCAAAGTTTGTTCCTGTTCCCAGATACTCCTGTCCCTATCTGGCCAGGTATGTTACTGTCCTTAACCCTCTTCCCTCCTCCTTTTTTATTATAATAAAATTTTATTGTTCAAATTATTACAGATGTTCCTCTCCCCCATAGCTCTCCTACACCTGATTCCCCACCCCACCCCATGCCCTTACCCCTGCCACTGTCTTCATCCATAGATGTAAGATTTTTGTCCAAACTCTTCCTGTACATCTCACACCCCCTTCACCCTGAGAATTGTTAGTCCACTCCCTTTCTATGTCCCTGATTCTATTATATTCACCAGTCCATTTTGTTCTTCAGATGTTTTATTCACTTGATTTTTAGATTCACTTGTTGGTAGGTATGTATTTGATGTCTTTTTGTTGTTCATAATTTTTACCTTTACCTTTTTCTTCTTCTTCCTCTTCTTAAAGAATACCCTTCAGCATTTCATGTAATCTTGGTTTGGTGGTGTGAACTCCTTTAACTTTTTCTTGTCTGTGAAGCTCTTTCTCTGACCATCAATTCTGAATGATAGCTTTTCTGGGTAAAGTAATCTTGGTTGTAGGTTCTTGTTCATCACTTTGAATATTTCTTGCCATTCCCATGTAGCCTGCATAGTTTCTGTTGAGAAATCAGCTGACAGTCATATGGGTACTCCTTTGTAGGTAAATAGCTGTTTTTCTCTTGCTGCTTGTAAGATTCTCTCCTTGTCTTTTGTCTTGGCATTTTAATTATGATGTGACTTGGTGTGGTCCTCTTTGGATTGCTCTTGTTTGGGTTTCTGTGCAGTTCCTGAACTTGTAGGTCTATTTCTTTCACCAGGTAGAGAAAGTTTTCTGTCATTATTTCTTCCAATAGGCCTTCAATGTCCTGCTCTCTCTCTTCTTCTGGCACCCCAAAATCAGGATGTTGGTATGCTTAAAGCCATCCCAGAGGCTCCTTATGCTATCCTCACACTTTTGGATTCTTCTTTCTGCTTCTCTGGTTGTGTGTTTTTTGCTTCCTCATATTCCAGAACTTTGGTTTGACTCTTGGGGTACGTTGATCTACAGTTGAGTTTCTGAATATTCTTTATTTTGGACAGTGTATGCTTAATTTCTGACTGGTTCTTTTCCTTTTTTTTTTTTTTTTTTTTTTTTGTATTCTCATTAAGGTCTTTGAAGTTCTCACAAAGCTTCTTGGAGATCTTATCAAGTTTCTCAAAGGTTTTTAGAATATTCTAGAGTAACCTTATAAATGTGATTCTGAACTCTGACTCATCCAGTAGTTTACTTTCCTCAATCTCTCCCATTCATGACATGCTTCTGTGTCTCCTCATTTTGACTGCCTCCCTGTGTTGATGGAGTGGCTATGTGTGGTCAATGACCTATAGAGGCCAGTAGCTCAGTTTCCCCAATCACCTGAGGTGGTTGCTCTTTGTACACCCTTTTGTGGGCTGAGTGCAAAGACTTGGTGTAATTAAGCCTGGATTGCTGTTGGTACACTGGGAGGAATTGACCTCCAGGCCAGTTGACTGTGAGTATCCACTGTGTCTATATAGAAAGATCTGCTGCGCTGGAGACATGCTTATGCTGCAGGCCTTGTTTCAGTGGGGCTTCAGTGCTCAGTGAGTCTGTCTCTTGAATGTGTCACTTATGGATGTGAGGAGTTGCACTCTGGTGTCTCACACTGATCACTAGGTACACTGGCTTCTGGATCTTCAATGGGGTGCAGTTCAGCTACTGTCTGAGGCCAATCTGCAGGAGATTGGAGGCTTTGGAGCTATCTGCAATAGGTTTCAAGTTTGCTAGGTTATATTGCAATAGAAGAGGCCATTCATATGTAAAAGCCGCTGCTTGGAGCTTGGGTATGTTTGTAGATTGTGCAGGGGGGGGGTGTCTCAGGGTGCAGTCTCAGGGCGTCACTAGGCTAGGGCACGGCAAATAGCGATGGCTGCCCATCAGCCATCTCCGCCTTTCTGTCCAGATCCCGTCCCCGCATTCATGCCCCGGAACAGCAAACAATTATTCTTGTGCTCAGCTCTGTAAGCAAGCCACCCTCACTTTCTGACCCGATGGCAGACAGTCCAGCTTCTCCCCAGAAACTGGATTTCAGAGAGATTGGGAGCTTGTCTCCTTCAAGTTGAAGAAAGCAATGCCCGCCTCCAACCAGGATCCATAATCAACCCATATTGCATGCGTGCCCCTGTATCTCATTTTTTCAGCGCTTGTGCCCTGAATCTCTTTTCTCTTTCAGTCTAGTTGTAGAGCTTCTGTTCAGCCAGCTTTCCCATGGTTCTGGCTGATAGACGTTTTGTCTTTTAGTTGTAGTTTTGTAATTGTTGTGCCTGGCAGTAGTTTAGATGTTTACCTATGCTGCCATCTTGAATCTCCCCTCTCTTCCCTTCTTCTTGAAATAGTGAGCAGAACTAGGCCAGAGCTGGGAGAGCTTGATAGTTCAGGCTCCAGAGGAAGCTTAGATTCCAGGAACTTGGGTTACGATTGAAGAAGAACTGAGAAAAAGGCTCCTCTGGATCTGGGTGTGCAATGGTGGAGACAGCATCATCATCTGGGAAGTGTGGATGCAGGAAGTGAAATGTGGTATGGGGCAAAGAAGAAGTAACAGACTGCACCTTAGACCCCTCTGGGAGGGGTTCCTCTTCACAATGGCAACAATGAGGAAGTCAAGGAGCTCAACAGAAGAGGAAAAGGACCAGACCCACCCAGGATGGATGGGGTTGGCGAGGGGGGAGCAAAGCTGGCCCTATATATAGCTCCTTCACTCACACAATCTCTGCCGGGGTTCCAATTATGATTGACTGCAAAGTTGAGGAAAAGGTAGATCTCAGGTGACAGACTCCTGGGCTTTCAGACACAGAGGCCAGCAGGACTCCAGCTGCTGACCTGACTCCTCCTCGGGCACCTCTACCCCACTCTCCAGGATTTTGTTTTACCCAACTCGACTCATTGCTGTTCAGCAAGCCAAAGAATCACAGCCTCCAGACTTTGCACAGGTAACCTGGGGATGCAGGTGAGACCAAGGGGGCAAGGAGGGAATTAGAGAAAGCAGGGAGAGGGGGCTGTGGGTCAGAAGGGGGACTGAATAGGAAGAGATATAAAAGGGCAGCTTGGAGATTCAATGACTTGGTGGAGATTTTAGACTCTATTCACTTAATTAGATTGGAGTTGCCTAACCTCTAGCCCTATCAGTTCCAGCCCCATCTTCAGGCTCCTGTCTAGACGCAGCCCTAAACCCCATTACAAACACCAGCGCCAACCCAACTCTCCTCAATTTCCAACATCAACACCAAATGTAGACCCCACTCCACCCATGGCATCAACACCAGTATTAACCTCGGTCCTACGAGGAGGCATAACGTTAATTGCAGCCCCAATGTAAGACCCAGTCCTAGTAATACCTCCATCTCCAACTTTACCTTTACCTTCAATCTCACATTCAAGTCATCTCCAGCCCAAAGACCAAGACTGACCTCACTTCCAACCTCTGCTGCAAACCCGGGCCCATTCCCATTCGTATCGCTAACCCCTGGTTCATCCTCAGCCTGAACGTCTTCTCTTACCTCAGCTCCAACCTAGTCCCAGCCTCTCCTGTCTCCTGTCTCCAGCCTAGCTGGTCACTGGCCCTGCCTCCATTTCAGCTCGGGCAGCCTCAGCGTTGGTCCAAGGATGTCTATGACGTATGAAGACCTCCAGTCCTTGGAGAGTGAGAAGAAAAGCCAAGGTTTTAGAAACAGTAAGGGGAAAGGAGAAACGGTGTCTCCTCAAATACTCTGTTAATATGTTTAGAAGGATTTCTGCTGTCACGGTATATCTGTACCTTTACCATGTACATCGCTGGGGTCCCCCCACTGTGGGTGTCTGGTGCTAGTGCCTGGTGGTTGCCATATGAAGAGGATTCAGGAAGGACAGGATCAGGGTGGACCAAAGCCATCCTGGCTGCCTATACTCTGGGGAAGGGTATGAGCTTTTGCACTGGGGGAGTGAACAGTCGTGTTTGGAAAGGAAACATTTGTTAACTTGACAATATAGATAAGCACGAGCCTGCTGAGGGCCTGGCTGCCCCAGCGTATTCTGTGTCCTCCTGCCCCCTGTCCCAGCCCTGATGATAAGACCTTACATATTGCCATGGTGTTGACATAGGGATGAGGGGCCCAGGTGACTGCAAGAGGGGTCAAATGCCTGGGCATCTCCTGCACTATAACCTCTTCCCAGCTTTCCCTGCACCACCCTTCATCCCTGACAGGTCCCTCTGGCCCTCTCACCCTCCCCTGTGTCTCCCCTGTCCTCAACCTCCATGTCCTGATGTCCCCTCCTCTTGCAGGGCTGCCTCCTCTCCCAGCCTTCCTGCAGCATCTCTGCTCTGGACCCTGCCCCCTTCTGCTCACTCTGGGACTCATCCTTCTCCTGATGATTGGCATCATTGTCATTGGGTCCAAAAGTGAGTGCCACTGGACGGGCAGGGATGGGAGCAATAGTAGGTACGGTAATCCAGGCACTGATGATGATCATGGTGGGTAAAGATGGCTGGTCACTGGCCCTGCCATCTGGTTATTGGGGGTTAGAAATGTGCTCTGTTACTTACTCATGGGTAATGTAGTCCAAGTGCCTGAGTGTCCTCCTCTGCAAGCTTGGATAACAACAGAGCCTGTCCCTTCAAGTCGGGTGGCTGTGAGGACCCAATGAGCCAATGTTTGTCCAGTGCCCTGCTCAGTGCCAGCACAGAGGACTGGCTGAGAGTAGCACTCATGATCCCACCTGACTGACCAGGTGCCAGGATTCAGAGTGATGCGGAGACCCTGAGAGCAACTTTCAGCAACTTCACTTCCAACACGAAGGCTGAGGTCCAGGCACTGCACTCCCAGGGTGAGCCTGGCTGGAAGGGGCTCTGGATGGGAGGGGTCGTGGTGGGGGGGAGGATAACAACAGACCCTGTCCCTTGAAGCCGGGTGGCTGTGACGACCCAATGAGCCAATGTTTGTCCAGTGCCCTCCTCAGTGCCAGCACAGAGAGGACTGGCCGAGCTTAGCACTCATGGTCCCACCTGTCTGACCAGGTGCCAGGATGCAGAGTGATGTGGAGACCCTGAGAGCATCTTTCAGCAACTTTACTTCCAACACAGAGGCTCAGGTCCAGGCACTGCACTCCCAGGGTGAGCCTGGCTGGAAGGGACTCTGGTTTGGAGCGGTCATGGTGGAGCAGAGGGGAGCTGAATCCTGAATACTCAGTCCCCATGTTTTCCAGGTGGCAGTTTGCAAGCAACAATAACATCTCTGAAAGCTGTGGTGGAAAACCAGGAGCAGGAACTGCAGGCAGGTGAGAGGCTCCTCCAGGAGTGAGTGTGCAAGGGTGGGAGCTGGGCTCTCAGGACAGAGGTGGGGTGGGAGCAGCCAGGGTGCTGAGTGCCCTCCCCTCCAGCCCGCAGCTTGAATGACAAGGTGTTTTCTCTGGAGATAAAGCTGGAGAGACAGCAGCAGCAACTCCAAGCAGGTCAGCCTCTTCTTCCTGCCCCTGGGCCTGAGGTGGTGAGAGGGCATGGGGGGCTCTCAGCTGGGCCCCCTACATTGTCCCCACTGCCCTCTGTGTGTCCCAGGTTATTCTGTAATGCTCTTGAGAGTCCAGAAGTTCGTTCATACCCTGCACTGTCAGGTGGCTGCGCTCCAGAGCAATGGTGAGTGGTGTGTAGGGCAGCGCCTGGCCCCACATCCTGCCCATGTGTCCCTGGGCAGCATCTCAGAACCTCCCCATGCCCACCTCAGACTCTCAAGATGTCTGCTGCCCCATTGGCTGGCTGGAGCATGACGCCAGCTGCTACTGGTTTTCTCCCTTTCGATTGTCCTGGTCCGAGGCTCAGTGGTCCTGCCAGCTGCAGAATGCCCACCTGGTGGTTGTGGGCTCCCAGAATGAGCAGGTGAGAACTGGGAGAGCTTGTTTGGGAGGCTGGTTGGTTTACTTGAAGTCATCGCCCTCATCTCCCCACAGAAGTTTCTTGAGCAACACATGTACCCTGTGGACACCTGGATTGGTCTTACTGACCAACATGGTCCCTGGACATGGGTGGACGGGACAGACTATAAGACCGGCTTCCAGTGAGTGTGTGTGTGCTCTGTACCCTGTTCCTTTGGCCTGGGCCCTGCTATCCCTGCTGGGGGTTTTTGAGGGCAAGAGGGACTCCTCTGCTTGGCTGAGGGTCTGGTCCACATTCATCTGCTCTCCTCAGGAACTGGAGTCCAGGGCAACCAGATAATTGGTACTACCATGGGCAAGAGGACTGTGCCCACCTCAGAACTGATGGCCAGTGGAATGATAACGTGTGCATGACACCCTTCTGCTGGGTCTGCGAGACAGAGCTGAACAGAACCAGTTCCTAGTCTCTTCTTTCCTAATTTATTTCCTGAATGCGTTCACCTGCTGAGGGAACCTGGCTTGGGGATTTTTTTTTTTCGGGGGACAGGACTCCTGCATCACACATGGGGTTTTCATCTAGGAATTTAAGAAAAGGGGAGAGGATGATGTGTGAGGAATGCAGAATGATGTCTGATGGGTGGGTAGATTAAAAATCACGCCACTCTTTGCAATTTGCAGGTTGTTTTTGTCACCTTTTTTTCGAATAAAAAAAGAGAAAGATGCTAAACATTTTATGTCACCTGGTTATTGGGGGTTAGGAATGTGCTGTGGCTTGTTGGTACTAGGAGGCCTTGGGCAGGCAGCAGGGCATTGGGAAAACTGTGAGTTTGGGGCCAGATGGGGTGATGTGTGATGTACCGGGCAGGGAGCTCGGCTCTCTGAGTCTCAGCTGTGAAGCAGAATTGTCGCTGGGACCAGCCTCTTTCCAGAGCCTCTCAGAACAGAGCCACCCCTGTGCGTTGAGTGCTTTCAGAGCTTCAGGTGAAACTTCTTGGTGTTGGTTGCTCGCATTACAGTGAAGAGAAGCAACATCCACAGGCAACAACAACAGTGAATCAAAGCTGAGGCCGCTGCTGGCTCATGCTGTGGGTTTTGCTAAAATCTCCCAAAGGTTACCAACCCTGCACTGCAGAGCTGACCTCGGCATGCTCCATATTCTTGCTAAGCAGCCTTAGTCCCAGCATTAGCAGCAGCTGGCCGTATCTTTGCTTTAGAGGCAGACCCTATTTCTATTTTCCAAGGCTGTTAGCTGTACAAATATTCTTGAAAAGACAGTTGAGAATGCGGGTGGTCAGTGACTCTGCTCATAAGATGTTCACAAATGTGAGCATTTTTTCCCCAAACCCTAAAGATGCAGTTCTCCTACAACACACACACACACACACACACACACACACACACACACACACACACGTGCGCGCGCGCATTAAAATAATGTTTGGTGCTGAAACCGGTTTGGCTCAGTGGTAGAGCGTCCGGTCTGCAGATTGAAAAATCCCAGGTTCGATTCCGGTCAAGGGCATGTACATTAGTTGTGGGCACATCCCCAGTAGGGGGTGTGCAGGAGGCAGCTGGTCGATGTTTCTCTCTCATCGACATTTCTAGCTCTCTATCTCTTTCCCTTCCTCTCTGTGAAAAATCAATGAAATATATTTTTTTAAAAAGTTTTTGTTTTTTAAAAAAAATAAATTATCGAGGTGTCCAAAGGTTGCCTACTAATTGATTTTCAAACTATTTATTAAAAATGTTTTTTTAAAATGTTTTTATTTATTTCAGAGAGGAAGGAAGAGGGAGATACAGAAACATCAATGATGAGAGAGAATCACTGATTGGCTGCCTCCCGCATGCCCCCTACCAGGGACCAGGCCCAAAACTCAGGCTGGTGCCCTCACTGGGAACTCACCACAGAGACACATCAGCTGGGCTTGCTTTGAGTCAGGTCTTAAAGTTAGCAAAGGGTCTTGAAAACTATATTTCAGCTGACACACTATAGAATGAAATTGTTATCAACGGAATTTTTTAAAGATTTTAATTAAGCTAGCTGAGACACTTCTGATCCTCATAGCCAATTGGCTTGGAGATCAACGCTTCCCAGTGATACCAACAACAAGCAAGGCTTAACAACAAGACTGCACAGCCCACAAAGGGCTACACCAAGACTGTCCACCTCAGGTAACTGGGAGGCTGACTCACTGAACTATATAGGACACCTTAGCACACAAAACCACCCTGCCAACTCAGGGAAGCTGTGAAAATGCTAAGACAAGGAAACAGATCACAAACAAAAGAAATGGAGGAAAAGAAGAGACTGGATATAGAGTTCAAAACCACGCTTATAAGGTTTTTCAAGAATTTCCTAGAAAAGGTCGATAAGACCTATGAGGAGATGAAAAGGGATCAACAAGAACTAATAAGGGATCAACAAGAACTAATAAGGGATCAACAAGAACTAATAAGAGATCAACAAGAAATAAAGAATACATTGTCTGAAATAAAAAGTATTATACAGAGTCCTAAAAACAGAATGGAAGATCACAAGAATCAAGTCAAAGATTTGGAACATAAAGAGCCAGAAGACACTCCTCCACAGAAGCAAGAAGACAAGAGAATCCAGAAAGTTGAAGATAATGTAAGAAACCTCTGGGACAATTTCAAGTGAACCAACATCAGAATTATGGGGGTCCCAGAAGATGAGAGAGAGCAAGATATCGAAAACATGCTGAAAGCAATAGTGACAAAAAACTTCCCCCACCTGGTGAAAGAATTAGACTTACAAGTTCAGGAAGCACACAGAACTCCAAATAAAAGGAATCCAAAGAGGACCACACCAAGACACATCATAATTAAAATTCCAAGAGCAAAAGACAAAGAGAGAATATTAAAAGCAGCAAGAGAAAAGCAGGTAGTTACCTATAAAGGAGCACCCATACGATTGTCAGCTGATTTCTCAACAGAAACCATGCAGGCCAGACGGGAATGGCAAGAAATATTCAAGGTGACGAATAGCAAGAACCTACAGCCAAAAATAATCTACCCAGCAAAGCTATCACTCAGAATCGAAGGCCAGATAAAGAGCTTCACTAATAAAAAAAAAAGCTAAAGGAGTTCATCACCACCAAACCAGAATTATATGAATTGCTGAAGGGGGTTCTTTCGGAAGAGAAAGTAAATAAAGGTAAAAACTATGAACAACAAATATGTAACTATCAACAAGTGAATCTAAAAACCAAGGGAATTAAAAAAAAATCTGATGAACAATATTAACTGGTGAATATAATAGAATCAGAGGTATGGAAGGGGAGTGGACTGACGTTTCCTGGGGAAAAGGGGAGAGGGGAGAGTGGGAAGAGACTGAACATAAACTGTGCACCTATGGATAAGGACAATGGGGGGTGGGGAAAGGGCAGTGGGTGGGGTGGGAACCTGGTGGAGGGGAGCAATTGGGGAGGGGGAGAATGAGGAACATTTGTAATAATATGAACAATAAAGATTTATTTTTAAAAAATGGACAAAAGATTAAAGGGTAGCCAAAACTGGTTTGGCTCCATGGATAGAGCGTCAGCCTGCGAACTGAAGGGTCCTGGGTTCAATTCCGGTCAAGGGCTCATACCTTGGTTGTGGGCACATCCCAGTAGGAGGTGTGCAGGAGGCGGAAAAAAAAAGATTTTAATTAAGTTTAATACTTTTTTTCAAATATTAAATGCTTATATTACACTCCATACTGATCAAATTAAGAAAAAGATATGTAGCTGTTTATAAGCCAAAAGAATTATTAAACAAATTTGATCCTGGAGAGCTAGATTTTTATGGAGAAATGCTTTTAAGCAAACGATTTCTGTAAGAATGATATTTTTACAAGTTTGAATATTTAGCATATCAAAAGTTGTTTCTTTTAGCAGATTTCTAGGACAATTAGATTTGTACAAGTGTGTAAGTAATCCAGAACATCCTTTATTCTCACACCATGAGAAATAAGGACTCCTTTTAATTTTAGTCACAAAAGGAGTCTGCAGCTGCCGGGCTGGAATGGCTTAGGGGTTGAGTGTTGACCTGTGAACCAGGAGGTCACAGTCCCATTCCCAGTGAGGTCACACGCACAGGTTGCAGGCTCAATCCCCAGAGTGGGGCGTGCAGGGGGCAGCCTATCAATAATTATCTCTCATCATTGATGTTTCTATCTCCCTCTCCCTCTCCCTTACTCTCTGAAATCAATTAAAATATATATAAAAGAGTCTGCAGCTTCCATTCTACAACTTGAGCCTTGGGTCCAAAGTAAACACAGAAATACAAGGACTCATTAGTCCCCGGAAGTGAGGCAGGAACTGGGAAGAAAGTGAGGCAGGGACTGGGAGGAGGGCACAATGGCAATTCAAGGTGGCCCAGTGATACATAAACCAGGGTCCGGGACCTTTTGTGACTTTAAGGCTCGCTTACTACCTCACAAGAGTACTCCTTTAAGAAGTCTGTTCTTAATTTTTGGAAACCTCCCTAACTGGCCCTCAAATTATGCAAATGGACCCTCTATAATGCAAGGGTCCTCTTCCACACCAAGCTGCCATCTGAGCGGCCAGCGGCACAAGACGGTGATGAAGATGCAAGAAGCATTTTCTAATTGAAGTGGACACAGCGGATTTTGTTTCTCATCAGGCATCTATGTGAAACCCCAACACACGAGAAGTAACTTTACAGTGTGCAGTGTGAAAGTAGATGATCATGCGAAAAAGAATCTTACTCAACTTGTGCGAGAGCAAAACTGTAAGGCCACAGAGGGGCTTACTGTTGAAGCAGGTACCCCCCCGGACCCCCACCCCATCTTATTTTTTTTTAAAGTCTTTATTGTTTAGATTATTATAGGTGTTCCTCTTCTCCCCTGCCCCACAATAGCTTCCCTCCACCTAATTCCAAACCCCACCCCATGCCCTTACCCCCACCACTGTCTTCATCCATAGTATAAGATTTTTGTCCAATCTCTTCCCGACCCCTCAAACTCTCTTCCCTCTGAGAATTGTTAGTCCATTCCCTTTCTATGTCCCTAATTCTATTGAATTCACCAGTCCATTTTGTTCTTCAGATGTTTTATTCACTTGATTTTTAGATTCACTTGTTGGTAGGTATGTATTTGATGTCTTTTTGTTGTTCATAACTTTTACCTTTACCTTTTTCTTCTTCTTCCTCTTCTTAAAGAATACCCTTCAGCATTTCATGTAATCCTGATTTGGTGGTGTGAACTCCTTTAACTTTTTCTTGTCTGTGAAGCTCTTTCTCTGACCATCAATTCTGAATGATAGCTTTTCTGGGTAGAGTAATCTTGGTTGTAGGTTCTTGCTGTTCATCACTTTGAATATTTCTTGCCATTCCCTTCTGACCTGCATAGTTTCTGTTGAGAAATCAGCTGACAGTCGTATGGGTACTCCTTTGTAGGTAACTAGCTGTTTTTCTCTTGCTGGTTGTAAGATTCTCTCCT